AAGAGAAGGACTGGTTGGGACTTCAAAGCATTTTTAGGAGAAAAATCATTGATTAACTAATATCCTCTGACTGAGAAGGTCTGTTTTCTCCTCATTCACCCACCTGCTATAGTGAAAACCAAAGAGCTCAGGTATTTCACGTGTAGCCCGTGACATGGTGACTGGTTAACGTTATTTTGCGTTTCTATGTAGGTTGTCACTTGTTATTGCTGGTTCTAAAACTTACTATCTTCTGTTCCTCTATATTCACCTAAGTTTGCTGTTCTTAAGCCACGGTATTTAAGTTATCTGATTCCTTCAGTGTCTCAATTCAAACACAAAATCAGCAGCCCCGACAGAGATGACCATGTACTCGTGTCTGGCAGTGTGGTCTTCTCATCAGCTTCCCTTTGGGCTGGTATCCTTGCCATTTGCATTTTCATCTTTCTCAACAGGGCAAAGTAAAGGAGAGAACTAGTCACAGTCGAGCATAACCTGTTTTCAGATCAATCCGTCCAAGATTTATGGCATTGGGAAATGAATGCCTTGCCAATATTTCTTCTCTTTACTGTTCCGTAACAACCAATTGAAAAGTTAATTAGTGAGCAATCAACGGGATTGGTTTGATAAATGGTGTATAACAAAAATATTTTTAAACACCTTAGCTGAAAGACCAGAATAAAAGCATCCTGGATGGAACAATTTCAAAGAAACTCTCCATCAATCTATATGTTTCTGAGAGGATATCTTGGCATCCATATTAGACCACCCTCTTCAAAATGAAAAAGATTTATGACCACAAAAAAGAGAAATGGTGAAATAGAAGTAACTATAACTGTGGCAAAGAGTTGTTCAGGGATGAGAACATACTTCATTTTCAGTATCAGCTGTGTTTTCATCGGTATCATGTGAGTTGAGCAGCTTGCATTTTCTCAATTTATTCCAGAGGCTGGACAGACTCTCTGTATCTACGTTTACGCAGGAGAAATCGCTGTAATCACAGAGACTTACAGAACATTTCCCAAAATGGTATGTTGAACCTTGCTAGTCTGATACTCGACTATGTGCTTCGTACTTTCTATGAAATAAAATCCTGTGTCGCCAAGGGTATACGCAGTGGAGCAAATCTACCTGGAATGAAGGAAAGTGCCTTGCATGGCGCCTCACAGGAAATGTTTGTGTGCAGTGAAGAAGAGGAAGATTACAAGAAATGAGAGGTGGATAGAGAACCAGCTAAGCAGGGAAGAGCAGCGGGTTGGAGAGGGGGGCCATGTCCCTTGTGCACCTCTTCGGAGGCTAATGCTGCTTCACGTGTGGAGTGGTGACCTCACAGCAAAGACCAAGGTGCGTGCTTGATGGCATCTGTGAACGGTGCAGAACTGCAAAGTATTAAACCTCCTGAAGTGGGCCACATCCTTACACAGGAATAATTTAGATGAGCTCGGGAACAGCAGCAACAGCAATTGCAGTACAAGACACGCACGTCAGAGTTGAGGAGGAGACTCGGCCAGAAGTGGTGGAGGGAGAGAGGCATTGGGGTGCAAAGGGGAATCTCAATCTGCCAGGAAGGCAGGATAGAGCTGGAAAGAGACTAAGGAGGTTGCAAGATGCATCAGGCACAGGATTTCCTCTAGAGACAGGGAGACAGTCCTTCCTCACATAAGCCACTGATAAGACCTCAGAATTTGGTCCCCTTTGCCTAGGGAGGACCGACTTTATGTGGCAATAGATACAGAGAAGGGCTTTGGGGAAGATTAGGGAAATGGAGACTTCTGAAGGGATATTAAGACACCTTGGCAACTGAGCAAAGCAAAAATTAAAAGGAGCTACAGCTTTGAATCCTTTTGAGGCATAAATACCACAGAGTGGGAAGAATGGTTTAAAGCGAAGGGTAGTTCTGGTACGAGAACATGGGGTTTCATTTATCCCACCTCTGTTTGGAGGGGAAAATATTTAAAAAGGTTGCTATCAAGAAGTGAAAACCTAGAGTAGTCCTCAAAATGGAGGATTGCAGGCAAAAAAAAAAACAACCCTGAGTTGTTTCAGACAGAGTTTGATTAAATTTGTCAAAGAAGATGTATGAAGGGATGACAGTAATCTCCCTTAGAAATTAAGGTTTATGACGTTAGCTTTTGTGCGTTGTATTAGGTGATGTCCCCAACAGCAGGTTTAAAAGATACTTGATTATTCTGTGATTATCACATTGTGTTTCTATTGTATTTAATTAATTTTCATGCTTCAGAAGACCGGCTGCAGAAGCTTGGGAAAATTCATTCTCCTCGGGTGGATAATTTGGCTTTATGGGATGCTCTTCCTCTCCAACAGATGAGTCATGTCGGTTGCAAGTGAGGAGCATTGCTACCACTAGTGCTACTTAGGAACTTGTTAAATGCTTGGGATTCCCTGCAAGATTTAGGATCAGAAAGGGTCTGCCCCAGCCCCTACCTCTGACAGACAAAGATCTCACCAGGCAGAAGAGGCTGCACAGACAAGCAGTGTGATGTAAGGATCACTTCCAGGCTTAGGTGGGCATTTCCACCTGAAAAATTTCCTTCTGGTGCCAGCACCAATGCCACCGGCAATGCGTCTCATACGCCTTCCTCCCTCCTGTGGCACGCGTGGTGCTCCTGAGGCTGTGGGTCTTCTGCACAAGTGTTTTACGACGTGTTTGGTGTCACCCAACGTGAAGGTTGGGTGCTTCTGACTTTCTTGTCTGTAAGTCGCAGGGCACTAGAGTTGGTGGCCCCCATTGTTGCAGTCCCCCACATGTGCTTTCTGGAGAGAATAAAAAAGAGGCCAAACTAGACGATCAATGGATGACTAGGTGTCTGTGGTTCTTCTCATTTATATCCAGTTCATCTCAGTGCCTGATACCCTTTTACCTTGTTAGTGGAGGTTATACTTTCTGCTATTCCTTTTTCCCCAATTCCCTCTAAGAAAAAATAGTCTCTCACTGTGTGCATCGTTCCTTTCTCTTTCCACTTACACTACAGACACCAGCAGGATATAAAAGGAAGTGAGCCTGTGTCAGGGCAAAAGACTCTGAAGAAAATTGAGAATGGAATTTTAAAAAGGGAAAAATTACAAGTGATAGAAAAATCCCAGGATATCTTCCCTCAGTATCTGCTCTTAATCATCGCACTGACACCGCATTGTGAAGGTTTACTTTTATTGCCTCATTTGGCGTAATAGTTTCTTCCCCAAATGGGAGGATTTAAATGGCTGCTTTCAGTGTGAGTACAGCGAAAAGCTGGCCACCAGCCTGACCTAGCCTCACCTGGGACGATTTAACCTCCCTCTGAAAGTGATGCTGCACAGCCTCACAGATACGCAATGGGAGGACGAGATGCTGGAGATGCACTTCTGATGGGAGAGGCGTGCAGTCAAGAGCTGGAGCCGTGGGATGGCATGCCAAGCTGGGGACCGAGAGCAATGGTCATCTCCAGCCCCCTACAGAAGCACCAGCGCCAGGTCAGAGCTCAGCACGGAGGGACTTTTCCTCCATTGCCCTTCTCGAGACATGCATCTTCACCCTAGAGGAAGGCTTCTCCGACCTCCATGCTGGTGGGATTTCTGCCTTCCCTTTCTTAAAAAATCCCATTATCCCCTGGAGATGATGGACCCTTCCCTCCTCTGCAGCTGGCTCCAGGGTAGGGTACAGAGCCAGGGCCAGGGAGGGTGACCCTCAGCGTTCCGTGTGCTCATGAATATATTCACATCAGAATTGCTGATGTTCATTTTGGGTGACCAGCTTTGCTCACCGGGCACCCCACAGATGTTTGGTATATGAGATATAGGTTAATAATTCGTAACAACTCTATTCTCTGCCACCATTACAAGCAGCTCACAGTCCTAACCAATGATGTTTTCCATCAAAGAGGCTTGCTGAATAGTTTTCTATATATGATTTTTGTTGTTTCATTGTTTTCCATATGGTTTTGATGCCTTACCTTCCAGCAGCTTCATACAGGTTTGTAAGCCATGTGCTATTTATGGGGTTTTTTTTGACTGAGTGAGTGCCATCCTCAGGTGTGAGGGCCAGGCACGAATGCTCAGGTGTGGAGGCAGGAAGCTCTTCTAAATGTTCTCCAGCACTTGTTGAAGATCCCTTCTTTTGATAGAAGCATGCTGATTGTAAAATCAGTTGCTAAAATACTCCAAAAACTCATTAGATAAACACGGGGAAAGTGAATACCCTCAGAATTTCTAAGTAATTAGAAATTACTTTCTAAGTAATTACAGAACAATCTTGTGATTGTCATCCACGTTTTGCATCAGATACTTGGATAATGTATGCTATCTCAAAACACAGGTATTGTATATTCCTTTTCCATTTGTAGTCTAATCTGTCTCTTTGGGATTCTTGTCTTTGACCAAAAAAATTAGGCCCTGTTAACACATGCTGTGGCTCACTGAGCCTTCATGCACCAGATATCTCACACTAGCTGCAAAATCAGTTAAGAAAAATAATTTTTATTTTTTTTCTTTGGCTGTCTTGGAAATTCTAGTCTACCTGGAGTTCATCTGGGAAAAAACAGAGACTTTTTTCTTTGCATTGTTACGTTTCCAATTGCTTTTACTGCATAAGGGAGCAAAAAATTAGAAGGCAATAATCCATTCTCGGCCACGCAGCACGTTTGGTGCTATCTAGACCCAGGCTCTTTATCTGCACATTAGTGCTGCTCCTTGTCTGCCACACGAAGTCTAGAGCAAGAAAATCAAGAAGTGCAGCTCAAGTATTCCAAGACAGGAAATTTGGAGTTGCTCACAAATGGAAGCAAACCCAACCCTAACTCCTCAACCAAAACTAAAAAAACCCCTCTGGTCTGCAAATGTTTGGAAAGCAACAGAGAGGGAGGCAGAGGAGATGCAGGAATAGCTGCCAGGACATTCAACAGTTTGAGGGTAACTGTTGTGCCTCATCTCTTTTTCTTTCTTGAACGTTTTCATCACAGATTGCATCCTATATCACGAAAACTTCCTTGAAGACTCAATTTACCCATGAAAACAGTTCTCTAAAAAGCCTTTTCGTTTTCTTGATGTTTTTACTTGCTTTGTAACTGTGCTAATGCTTTCCATGGAGCTGCTTATAACTACCTACGCTTGTGGAGGTAATACCTACCCAAGAACAGCTGCTTACTTTTTTTGTGAATACATTTTTAATTTCTAGAGATCTAACAGTTTATTTGTGCTGGAACTGCAGCCCCAGTCTGGGAGGGCCATACAGCAGAATGGATTAACAGAGGGGTGTTGAACTCTAACTGAAAGAAGGGCTATTAAACAAAAAAAAAAATCAACCAGCAGTAGTTATGTTCCGAGCAATATTTTCTAAGGATTTTGTGGGGCTCTTATTCTGCTGAAAAGAGCTTCTCAACAGAAGGGCTGGATTTTGAATGGACCGGAGACCCTCAGGAGAGAAGCAGCAGATATATTCATTTTCAGCTTGGAAGAACTGGATTATTTAAAACATAAAGGATTCCTTGATATACGCAGTTGGCATCGCTGCGAGTGATGATAACAAAGGCACCACTATTAAAATGCAAAGTGCATTATTGCTACCTTAGGGGTTTATCTCTTAGATCTTTCCCCTATACCAATCCAGCAGGGATTTAATGATCTTCTGTCCACAAGTTTCCCCACAAGAGCTGCGGGGAGGACAGGATTTGCTCCTCAAAGCAAACTTCAGAGGCACAATGCAGAAAAGAGGAGAAGAGGGAGAGAGCAGGGAAGAGCTGAGCAAAGAATAAAGGGAGTGTAATACAAGAGAAGGAGTGAGAAAAGAGGAGAGAGTGAAAACACTGCAAAATAAAAGCAAGTGCAACCCCTGTAAAGCCCGCTTCTCTGAAGGGTATGTTTCTGTACGTTGCTGGGAGGGGAGCTTCTTGCAATCACAGTCGTAGTCTCATCTTGAACAAAGCATAAAGCCTTTTTTGGGTCCCTGTTTGCCATCAGTCTTGCACTGCAGGTGATGGAGTTTGATTTGTGCACCGTGGATGGCTGGGATGTACATGCGTAGCCCTTAAAGACCTGCTAGAAAGTTTTATGCATAAAAACTTTCCTGATTGGGAATGCTTTTCTCATTCAAGACATAAATGAAAGATTATGGATGCTCACAGATGCTTAGGTGTAGCTAGCTCTTTTCCTGGAGGAGGAAAGGTTTGCATCCAGCCCTTTGGGTGATTTGCTGTTGAACTGCAGAGCTGCTCAGGAGGGGTGCAGCTGCCCTAATACTGTTTTTCAATCAAGTCTGCCACTCGTGGGGAGAGCAACGCAGACACCCAAACCTTGGTGTCTAGTGCTATTTAAGATGCTTTACAGTATCTTTCCCACCTCCAGCTGCCTCTCCAGAAGTGCACAATCCCTCAGGCATCCTGTGTTGTATCTGCCAGCCCTGCTGCAGGTGTCTTGGATACTCTAGGATGTCAAAAATGGCACTTGGTGCCTATGTTTAGGACCTGAATCAGTCCCAATGTGGTATAGCTGTGAGACGCTTACTCTCTCCAAAGAGTGAGAACAGTTCCCTTTGCAATTTATAGGGAAAGTTAAAAGTAGATCAACTGTTGACAAGTCAGGCTGGCTGGTTTACAAGAGACTACTATGTTCAACAGATGGGAAGAAGCTGCCAGATCTGGATTAAAAGCCAGATCCAAACAACCCAGCACTTAAACGTATTTGATTTTTCTACAGTCTATGTGGGACTCACATAAGAGGCAGCAGGTCCCTGGATATAGCTTTACTTTCTGATGCCAGCACCCAAAAAGGTTACAGAGATGACTTGTTGTTCCATTCTTGATTTTTAATGCTTCTACATTCTTGGAAATATGCAATGAAGTTGAGAGCTGCACTTCATTCTGTTTGCCACTATAACGATGTTGTACTATTTCTCTTATTCCCACTACATGTGAGCAGGTGGTTCTTCAGGAAACCTCCTCTATTTAATAAGAAGGTGAGTATTTAATGGGATTCAAATGCTGACTAGGGGCACAGAGGCATTTCTGGAGTCCTACTTCTTTGACAGAAACAAGCAAAGCACTGCAAGGAATGTATTATCCACAAGTGTTCTAAAAAGCACAGCTCCCCTTGGCAACTGTGCTCTGAAGTGCTAGCTGCTTCTTCGTTGGTATAAACATTCATCAGCACAAGAAAAAATGTTCTAAAGTGTGGATATCACCATCTCCAGGGCCTTGATCTTGGCCCAGTTAAGCCAACGGAGCATTTCCAGTGATTTTAGGGATGAGGCTGAGCCTTTCCCTAAATCTGTGCCTTGTGTCCCCCTAACTGCATCACTCTTTATTTGTAGCAATGCAGACAGACACAGGCAAGTTCACTGTGTTATCTCCATATGGATACAACCGAGTAGCTACTGGAGAGTGAAAGGCAGCAACTCTCCTTTTCAGAGGAATTTGGGTGGGCTGTGGGGCAGTTGGGTTTGATTTAGTTTGCTTGATGCTGATGCAGTTCACATTCTAAGGGATTTATTGTTCTCTCCTCCAGAAAAAAGTAGTAACGAATCCTTGCCCTCTGACACTGAACTTCCAACCACATCCTGATTTGATCTTGGTCCCAATCCTACACGTAGTTTTCCTCTCCCATCTCTGATTAAAAACTTCCCGTCTTGGTTTATGTCTTTGCACCAAAATGAAACTACTTGATTTGGCTTCTGAATAGTACAAGGAAGATAGAAAGCCAGCAGGAAAAACGGTGACAAAGACAAGTCCACAAGGGGCAGAAAGGAAAAGTGAAGAAACCATATTTAAGAAACTTTACTAAAATATAAAATTAAAGGGGGGGGGGAGAAAAACAAAAAAAAACCCACCCTCTCCCAAACATAGAAGCGTAGTCATCTGAGCATTGGCCAAATCTAGACAGACTACTTCCAAATGTGATCTCATACAAGCATGGTCTGTGATTCAGACCCTGAGAATGTATTTCCCCATTAACAGAGCTGCATATTTATCTTTTAGCTTGGCCAGAAACCGGCTGTTGGACAATCCAGCCATAGTCATCTACGCTACGATTGGGAACGATGTCTGCAATGGGTAAGGTGTAAACCAAATTAACTATCAAGTACCGTAAATTTGACTTCTTTAGAGCACCGCTGGATGCTTGGATGTTTATGTCTCATTGCTCTGCGCTTCGTCATGATGGCATTTTTCTTTGCTGTTGGTCTGTGCTTCATGCTTATTTTTCTGCTGGAAATACTGGTTGTTGCCTTACCTGTGTTTGTCGTTGCCACCTACCAGTCCTCATTAGGAGCTTGTCTTTCTTTCTTTCTTTTATAAGCCGGTGATAAAGTGACCAATGGGACGTCTGAAGTAGAATATTTCCAGCTTAGCAGATGAAATGCAGCATAACAACAACAGGAGGGAGGAAAAAAAGAGTTTAAAAGCATATATATCCATCTTACCCAGTATGTCACCTCCTGTCAGGAGGGAGACCGTGACTGATTCACCTTTTCTGCAGAATGACAGCGTAGTCCCCCATCGAGGTCTATTTTCACCCTGCCTCTGCTGCACGCTGCCTGCAGTCTTTGCTGTGCTCTCCTGACGAGGTGTTTTGTCTTTCTGGCTTTATTCGCGTCATAAGCTCAGCAGGAGAATGAACTGAAGCTTTCTAAACTAATAGTGCTGGCATTATCCATTAGCGGTGCTCGCAGGGACGCCAAGAGGTCACTAGTTGGATGCTTCCCTTCCTCCCGGTGGTGGGAAGGCAGAAAACACCTTGGGACCACGCCAGGGCACAGCACATCCGTGCCGCAGTTTTGGTTTTGCAGGTGGTCCGAGTGCTGTTGTTAGTGTGACAGTGTTTTCACCAGGATCAATCTTCGGATTTGAAGCGGAAGAAATAAATCTGACTTATGTAGAGACTTTCAAAACCCTCATTTTAATACATGACGCACGCTCAGCTAAGTCCCCTTCCGAAGCTTTGGAAAAGTCTCACCTGCAGGTTGTGTGATGAAGTTGGAGCTGTTATGCAGGCTGTCGGACTTTGCCATTAAAATATCTTGGGTTTGGCACCCTAAGGCGTTGCTGAACAGCAAGTGCTTGGGTTGAAACGTTGCACGTCGGGCATGTTGTTCTCCAGACAGGGACAGCCAAAGGCCAGGCAGGGCTTTCCCTGCCAAGGCGGCATCCGGCACCCTCAGCCAGGGCAGAAGTGCGACCACAGGGGCCACCTTTTAGGTCCTTCCCGGGCACCACCATCTCCCTGGCCACGCGCGGGCAGCACGCAGAAATAGCCTCCCACCAAACCTCTACCCTTGGCATCTCTCTCTGTGCTGGTGCTCTCTCAGATTTGCCCCCAGCACTCCCCTCTGTTAGGGCAAGGGCATGTAAATCCTCAAATGGAATGCCACCACCCTTTGAGTGGGAAAAATAGTCACGGACCCCCTGCTACTTGGTGGTGAGGCCGTCCTGGGCATCTGTTCATGGAGAAACTTATGGAGGGTCTCATTGCAACCACCCCCAGGATGATGAGCACCCCCCTAGATAGTGCTCCTGCCACAGAGACTTTCGAGGTGTCTTCTCCCAGGCTCTGCTGTGTACATATTTCAATCCTGCTGTTTCACTGGCTTGGCTAAAAGCACCACTTTTCCCTTTGTTTTATTGCGCAGTCAGCAGGTTATTCCTTTCACTTCCCCTGTCTCTAACACCGCTTTCTATTCTTGTCCGAAGCAAAAAGAAATTTTCCACAAATTTAAACCATTTTGGCCTTGCCTCCCCCATTTGTACGTTCTAAACCAGTATTTGTTACTTGAAGCTCTGCTGTTGTTCTATCCCAGTATCCATTACCTGGCAAAGAGACTTTTATCTGCTCAAATTCTCTCTGCTGTCTGTTTTCTTCCAAAACACTTGCAGCATCAAAAGAGGCTGTCAGGCTGTAGTGATCCTCCTGACTCCAGCAGGGAAAGATGCTGCAGCTTCTGTAGCAACACCCTGCTTCCATGCTGTTCCCATCGAGTGGGATGTACAGCAGAGAGAGGGGGTTTTTCAGCGTCTGGTCACTGTGTGTAGCTGCCCTGGCTCTGATGTACCCACGGAGGTTACAGAGGATGCGAAGCATCTGAAGAGCTTGACTTCAGACCTAGGGCTTGACAAATAAAAACCCTCTTCAAGGACAGCTTTAAACTGCAGTAACAGAGCCTTTCTGGCCTTACAGAATCATGGAATGGTTAGGGTTGGAAGGGACCTCAAAGATCTAGTTCCAACCCCCCTGCCATGGGCAGGGACACCCTCCACTACACCAGGTTGCTCAAAGCCCCATCCAACCTGGCCTTGAACACTTCCAGGGATGGGGCAGCCACAACTTCTCTGGGCAACCTGTTCCAGTGCCTCACCACCCTCAATGTAAAAAATTTCTTCCTTATCTCTAACCTAAATCTCCCCTCTTTCCTGTATCTTACCTTCAAAAGAGAGCAGTGTGCTGAGCGAGCGCTCTGGAGACACAGCTCGTAGCCAAAGTGTTGTTAAAATGCCAGCGTTTCATCCCATGCGAAGAGCTGGGCAATGAGTAACATGGATGTTTTTAGGGAAGAAAGATAATGAAATTGGCAGCCTGTGTTACACGTCCCCAGTAGTCTCCACCCTGTGGTGTCCAAACAGGGGGGTTAGAAAAATAAAGACAGATGGCAATGGTATCTCTCAGCCCACTGAGGTGTAAACGTGGGACATGATGTGGGACACACAGACCTGGAACAAAACCAAAACAAAATTCAGACTAGAAAATAAGGAGCGCCAGCAGTCTGGAATGCTGTACAGTTCTGGCACGTATCGGTTGCGTTTGGGGCTCCAGCCCTGCGCGTACGTGTGCGGGGTGTGCGGGGGGGCGTGCGCGCGGGGTGCTCGCCCACCAGCTGGCCCCGCGGGCCGGTGGCCCAAACCTGGGGTGTGCAACAGCACGTGGCTGGGAAGCAGCCGGATGGCTGAGACATTGGCTGGGGGGATATTTGTTTGGGTTGGGTGACATGGATGGAGAGACTTGCTGCCCTGCAGGACGTGGGAGGCTGGACCCACGATCCCCGAGCAGGAGGAAGGTGGGGAGCTGTGTTTGTTTGGGTTACGCTGGACTCAGGTATAAGGAACTGGAGGAGTTGTCCATGGTGGAGGGGAGCTGGAAAAGCTTTGCATGGATTGCACGAGGCTGTCCGGTGCCTCTGTGTTACATGTGTGTGCACCGGGGTACCCATGGTGTTCGGACACACAGCAGCTGTGTGCTCATCCAAGGATATTACTGTGTGTTTGTGTATTGTGGGGGGGACCGGAGTGCTCCCTAAAATGCTCCCAGATCCAACGCAGCAAGAATCCTAATGTTAACATCCACTTTCTCTGCTCTGACACAATGAACCATGGCCAACATAAGCTTCCAGAGGTCCCAGGTGAGCAGAGACTGTCGCTGGTGGCCGCCTCCCAGGGAGACCATGGGAGGGTTCCACAACAACCCCCAGTACTCACCCAGGGAACCTTGAAATCCTTCTGGCAGAGCCCAAAACAAGCGTGCCTACAAGATGGTTTGCTTCTCAGTCGGCTTTCATTTCATAGCCTGGCACAGAAAGGAAAGGTGAAGAAAGGCAGTGAAACAGCTGCATGGCTTCAGTGGAGAATGACAAAAGAAAGTGGAATTAGGAATGCCAAGGGCTACAAAGAGTGAGGTGCCAGGGTTACTGAATAGTTTTAAAGAGATTTTTAACACCATGGGAAACCAATGTGGTCATAGCCTGCTTCGTGGCCCTGAGTCGTTCCCCTGCACTGTAAATAAAGACTAGCTCATTTGCAAACTGTGGAATAAACCAGCAGGAGAGCTGAGGCTTTTTCCTCTATGGAGGTGTGCTAGGCCTGGCGAGGATAGAGTTAATTTTCTTCACAGCAGCTCCTGTGGTGCTGCGTTTTAGATTTTTTTGACCAAAACAATGCTGATAATACACTTTTTCAGCCGTTGCTGAGTAGCATTTGCACAGCATTGAGGCTGCCCCTGTTTCTGACTCTGTCCCCCCAGTGAGTAGATTGGGGGGTGCACAAGAGGTTGGGAGATGACACAACCAGGCAAATGACCCAAACTGACTGAAAGGATAGTCCATGCCATGTAATGTCATGCTCAACAATAAAAAGGGAGAGGAGGGGATTTTAGGGAGGTCTGGGCATTGTTCTGCCCGTGGGAGGTGATGAGCGATGGCCTTTGCATCACTTCTTTTGGTTGCTTTCTCTCTTCTTCTACTTCTCCTTCACTTATTGAACAATATATATTTTTTTCTATCTTGACCCCCAAGTTTTCTTGCTTTTACTTTTCCTTTTCTCTTCTCTCGTCTCACTGGGAGTTGGGGGGAAGCAAGTGAGAGGCTTTGTGATGCTTAGCTGCCCACCAGGGTTAACCCACAACAGGAGGCCTCTCTATGAAAAAGGGATGTATTTGTCTGTTTTCAACAGGGAGAAGAGTTACAACGAGGGAGGTTTCTATATCACTTCTGATTTTGGCAATAACGATGAGAGCCTAAAACACATAGCATCATTTTGATAAGGTTTTATTTAGGTAACTTAATGTGGAAGAACAGCAAGGAAGAAAATTCTGCTGCTTCAGGTGCCTTTTGGAGGACACAGTATTACCTGACACAATGTCCTGTTGGTATCCTCTTCTCCTGCAGGTACCGTGACACGCTGTCTTACATGACTACGCCCAAAGAAATGCTCTCCAACGTGGTGAAAGCGCTACAATACCTGGACTCCCATCTTCCAAACGGCAGCCATGTGATTTTAACAGGCTTGGTAGATGGCCGCTTTCTCTGGGATAACCTGCATGACAGATACCATCCCCTAGGTAAGTATGATAAATATGATAATCCCCTGGTTATCTGTGTTGCCTTCTGTCCCTGAATAAGTGTTGAATCTATTGACAATTTCAAGTAAACCTGACAGAATGGAGGAGATCTGAGAGATATGAGACAGATATTGGCTGTGCAGTAGAAGAACCAGCTTACTGTCCCCAGTGCAGGACAGGGCAGCTAGAGGGTAGACCTCTAACCTGCCTGGTTGTCCCACAGGTCCTACCTGGACCCTCTCAGCTCCAAACCAGGCTCAGTACATTCTGTGGATGTGGAAACAAGCTGTTCTGCCTTAGCCTTGACTCAAAATTGTGGCCAGCCTGCCTGCACTTCATCCTGGACATTTGGTGAACACCTCCACTCACTGACGAGTGGACGCCTTGGTAAAACCGGACAGAGGCCAGGACAGAAGATTAAGTCAGGGGATTGTGAAAGACTGGTTAGATATTAGAGAAATAAATTTTCCGTGAGCTCTGGGTGCCTGCCACCTCCTGCCCTACCTACAGGTGTGATGACCGACACCTCCCACCATGTGCAGGCATGTTTGGAGCTGTTCCCTCAGAGTGCCGTTACTGTGAGGTGCTTTGGGCAGTGTTTTCAGAGATTTGGAGGCTGCCTTTGGAAACCTATCATCTCAGAGCATGCACGAAGCTGTACGTCTGACCATCAACAGACCCCTTGCTCCTTGGTGTCATCCTGTGCCAAGCGGCACGGAGGAACATCATTGTGTTCACAGGCAACGGTGTGTGACGTCCTTGGTTAGTCCAATGGCCGTGCCTCTGCTGTCAGTGTGGAAACATGTCCCTGGGGTCGTGGAGATTGTGGGGTGGGGAAGCTTGGAAGCTGGCTGCAGAACCCCTTCTCTACAAATCTATGCCATCCGGAGTGATAAAGAAGGTGAAATATTTTGTGCAAAGCAAATACAAACCAAATGTGTGTACACGGAACCATCGTGGACATTCTGCTGTCAGATTTTAGACCAAAAACATCTGAACAAGTGGAAAGTTGTTGTCATCTTAGATATCATCAGTGAAGAGAGAGAGAGAAGCTAAATCCATCAGTAAAATGGTAGATTGCATCTTCAGATGATTTTGGCAGCCACCTGGGTACGGGGGCTTTCAGCAGGCTGTGCCGTGGTTTCCCCAAGGTTCTCCAATCACTGCCAGTGGTCTCACAGCTTCTGCAGTATCTACTACTGTTTTTTTTTATCCCTCAGAAGTACTTGCCTTTTCTCAGGAAGTCTGAGGTCTCATTTCTATTCCCGATACCTTGTTAAGTTTTTCTTTAATAAGCACTACACTATTATCAATCGAAAGCATAAAAAGGAAAAATAAAAGAAAAATCTCGTCCCTTTCAGGGCAGGGGGAGCTTGTGATAATTATTTTTTAGTCACATAAATACATTTCTCCCCTTGAGTGCACGTTTGTCACAGGGACTATTCCTCCACCAGCTATCTAATTATCAGAGACAACACGTAGTGGTTTGTGGCCACAAGCCAAATCAGGAGTGATTAGCTATAGGACCGGTTGGGAATTTTTCAGGGGGGCTGATTTGCCATTGGGAGGAACCCAATTAATCCTAAGTAACACGGTTTTGTAGCAAGAGATCACTTCTGGCAGATCCTCCGAGGGGCTGCGAGCAGGTTTCCCCACTTGGCTGCCAGTCAGGAGCAACCAGATGTTGGTCTGGTTTTCTGCCAGATCCCTGCTCCCCCTGACAGCCCATCCCAGGGCCCGATGCTTTCAGGCTGCGTGGCTCTGGGACATTCCCAATAGATCTTTGAGCTCCCCATCTCTTGCTCCTCAGGCAGCTGATAGTCCTGCTGGGTGATGGGCAGTCGTGAGAAAGGCAGGAATGACATCTCTATCAGGGAGCTGCTGCCAAGCAACCCGAGGAGCCCGTTTCTCTTGGGAGGGATCATGTTTTGCCATTCCCAAAACAATAACAAAAATTTCGTATTTCAGCACTGCAAAAATAACGAAGCCTGAGGGGATGATCAGTGTGCTACAAACTCAGAGGACGGAGTGCCCATTTAATTTCTATCTTGGTTGTAGCTACTGAAGATGCAAAAAGGTCGAGAAAATGGGTAATATTCTCGGCAAGCCAGGCTACTGCATAGCACAGTGAATTTTAGGGAACGTCAGCTGGGTGGTTGACTTGGTGCTGGAATTTGCTCACCCACACAAGCACTCCCCTCCGTGACAGTAAAACTTTTCCTCCCTTTTAAGGCCAACCTCTGCGAGGTAAATGTGAGAAACAGAGTATGTAGAGGCACCTTCAGTCTTCCCTTCAGCTTTGCAACCCCTGCATTTGCTTGGAGGGTGAGAGATGCATTAATGGCTGAAATATCAGTCATGCACTTGGGAGATTGGCGCAGGCTGCGATGGCCAACACCACCTGCAAGACAAATCACCTGGGAAAGGCCGGAGAGGGATGTGGGAGAAGCGAACGCAGCTCTCCGTGCTGTGGGGACATGGGCACCTTAGCGGGACAGATGCATCGGTGCCACCTCTGTTGCACCCCGGTTGACGGTGGGAGGATAACCTGAAGTGGGGAGATGTGAAGCTCCCAGGGTGCCTCTCCCCACCGAGGGGTCTAATGCACGGGAACGCACAGACCTGCAAAAGGAAGTCACGTTTGGCCATCAAGCACATGAAGTTTCCCTCCCCGTGTTTTGTAGGGCAGCTGAACAAGGACATCACGTACAGTCAACTGTATTCTTTCCTCGACTGCCTCCAGGTAAGGTCTCTGGCTGTAGTTTACAAGCCCCCGTTCCCCTCGGCCCGCTGCTGATGCTCTGCTCCCCGTGCCTGCCCAGGTGAGCCCCTGCAGTGGCTGGCTGACCCCCAACGAGACCCTCAGGAATCTGACCTCAGAGGTAAGTCTCAATGAGGCTGCAACGGGACCGCCCTCTTGCACCTACGCTCTTCGAGTTTGTCCCTGTATCCGAGCATATAAGCCTAATATCTCAAAGGCAAGATGTCAGCATGTTTTTTTCATCTAAAGATGGGGAGAAGATGCAGAAACATCTGTATCCATCCTTTCAAATGCCTCTCAGGCTCTGGGAAGCAGCATGGTTAAGTTAAGGGACTCCTAAATGTATTCCCTTTCCAACCTCTCAGCTGCCCAAATTTATTCTCAAGGGATGTGATCTCCCCAAGACAGAACTGTTCAGGGGCATGTCCTTTAAGAAGAAAACATACCTGATAAGAAAGAAAAGCCTCATGAATCAAGGAGCTGTGAGTCTGAAAAGCCAACTGCATAGATGGTGCTGGCAGTGGGAGCAGGGCCCCGGAGCAAAGCCTTACCCCATCCTCAGCTGGGATTTGTGCTAATCTTCCTCAGACACGTTTCTGTGGACTTAATCACCAGATGGTGTGACCAAGGAGCATCCAGGCTCAGTGTAGGAATGGGAACAGGCGGAACAGAGATGTCTTAAACCTCACCCTAAAGTGAGTGTCACATAATGTCAGCCACTTATTCCCTTACGGTACAAGCTGATTTTTGATCCCAGCCACCCCCTGCAGCCATGTAAAAGAGACAGTAACCAACTATTGTCAAAGGTGTCATCTCTGTGTATAGTTGTATTAATATTTGCATTCACTAAGCAAAAAATATGGCCTTAATTTCACCAAGGCTTACATATGTGTTTCATTTTATGCCCTGTCCCTCTTGACTTCAGAGGAGGCAATTAAGCATATTCCTAAATCTTTCCAGGATTGCAGCTTATATATTCGTACCAACAATACAGAACATACAGTACACGTAACTTCTGTCCATGAACAATTCATGTGTCTGCAGGGTATGAATTAATCTTCTTTCCGAGCTCCTGTTTGAAACTAATTGTCTATGTTATTATCCAAACTGCACAATTTAAATATTTAGGAGATCCTGATCTCTGTTACGGCTGTAGAAATCACACTGGATATATCAGTTAGGTAGACGCTCGGTGGAGGTAATTTGAAAGTAGGGGTAGAATTTGGTCTGGAGAGATAAGTGTTAGCACCCACAACACAGTAGCAGGAAGAATAATGGGAAAGGAGACCGTTTTTCCTGTAGAAGAGTTTCAGTTTACTTTAAGAGGAGTGAAATGACTGGGCTGCCACTCCACAAGAGGCCTCTGAAATGGAGAAATTCAGACTCTGGATATAGGTGTAGAGACACTACTAGAAGAGGTCTCCAGTAAAAGAACCATGGGCTCTATTAAACTTACTACATCAGCTGAGCCCTCAATGCACCCTGCAGTGACGTACTGCGTGGTGAGCTGGATAGCCCCAAGGCTGGTTGCGCTCATGCAAGTCTACGTTATTGCGTGGTGAGCTGGATAGCCCCAAGGCTGGTGGTGCCCATGCAAGTCTACCTTACGATGAAGAACCTCATTCCACCACCTTTCCCCCAGCTCAAAGGGCAACATGAGCTTTCAGATTCCTGGCTGCGCATCGGTGACAAAAGCTGAATCCATGCAAAGCGGCGTGAGTAGCAATGATTGTCATTAAATCCCTCGATTTTTGCAGAGAGCTTTGCAACTTTCCAATGTCCTGAAAGAAATAGCCAGCACTGAGAAATTTGCCAACTTCGATGTTTTCTACATGGATTTCCCACTGAAACAAAGTAAGTTGCTTTTTTCCCACCCTGTCTTTTTCATGAAGCATTTAGTGAAGTGCTGGGCTGCTAATATGTTCCTCCTGTTTTAGCTGCGTGCTGGGAAAGGGCAGCACAGCCAGCCAGCCCAGGTGACCCTGCTGGCAAGGTGGGGACACTTAATGCCATCTCCTGGCTTCCCTGGTTGGGGTAACCACCAACCTCTGCAGAGATAACAACCCATCACCAGCCTGGGGGCCACGACCTCCCTGCTGCTCCCGGCACCCACAGCCCTGGTGCTTTTGTGCTTGGGTGGCAGGGGGTGTTGGTGGCAAGGCAGCAGGGACAGCAGATGAGCCTCTGCTAAAAATGCCCCTTGCTTGTCCACTGCAGCTTCTCAGGCCGATGAAGGAAAAAAACCAACCAACCTCAAACCTATCTCAGTCCATAAGATTTGTTTTTATTTTTGATCATTGCTTTAATGGGGGTCATCTAGGCAGGACAACGGTGAAGATGGTCTTCATGAGCTGTAGTGTACCACCTCCCTGACCGGGCTTCGTGTTGCCTTCTCTGGGATGAGCAGTGCTTCAGGAAGGAGAACTTTTCTCAGCCAGTTTTCTTGCCTGAATGCACAGCCACCCTCTCCTAACTCCCTGTTTCAAAAGAACTGCCTTTTTTCATATCCTTCCTTAAGCACCTACACACACTGTAACTTTTGACTTGAAGAGTTTACAAAGCTCATCCTTCTGTGATCTTAAGTGCCATTAAGTAAGCACACGACCTAAATCACTTCCTTCTGCAACTGACACTTAAAAAAAAAACAACACAGGAACCAGAAACTTTTCCTCCTTACAGTGAGGACGAGCGGATTGTGTCCTTGCAGGGCTGGGGACCAACACCTGTCCCCAGATCCCTCTTAGCAGAAGCAGCCTGGCAGTACTTCAAAGCGTGCATCTGGAACACCTCTCCCTATCAGTGCTGTCCTTGGAAGCACGAAGCTGCCAAGGCACCTAAGATTATCGCCAAAAAAATCTCGTTTGCAGCCAAATCCTATTAAAATTCACAAACTTATTTTATCCTACGTGACCCAATTCAGAAAGCTGGTTCTGGGTCTCATGCAGACCATATGGAAGAGGAGATAAAGAAGAGAGGATGGGAGAGGGAGTCTTTCTGCCCAAAACTTTATCTCAGACAGGTGGGCTCCACTGCGAAGTTCGGTATTGTGGCACAGAGTTTCGGGATGTCCAAGTCTCTTTGCAGCTTTTGCCTCGGCTACTTCCTATGGAACAAGTCATTAGGATTTGGCACAAACTACCTGCTGGGTAGGCAAATTACTTTAATAAGTTAAATGACTAACTTTAGATAATTTATTTGCTTTCGCGAAAAGAAACATCTAATATAATTTGCTGTTCTTGATTTATATCGCGGCAAATAAAGGAGGTAAACAAAATCACACGTGCGCATGCAAACACCAGCTCTGAAAGACGCTTTGCAAAGTTTCCCGCAGCCAAGGATTCGAGCTTGCCGTCAGGAAAGCTGTCAGTTCGTGACTGTGCTCAAAAGCCAGCTAAGGCTGCTGACCTACTTTTCCGGTCTCTTCCTGAAGCAAGCGCAAATCCTTCCCTAAACTCTCCAGACATCAAATATTTAGCAGCGGTTTCACACTGGGATGAGCACATTGATTTCAGGCTGGCCTGTGCACGTATATATACACACACACCTAGCAGCTCCAAGCTTTCTTGGAGTAAAATTCGTGTATATTAGCATTTATTCTAGGTTTAGATGGACATTCAAGCTCAGATGTTGCCTTTGGCTGAAGAACTTAGTGGTTCCTTCAAGAAGTGGTGCGATAAACAGGGAGATAGGGGTTGGATGCCTGTTTTGGCTTTTCCTTGGAGTGGAAGGGAGCAAGCTCTAGTCTAGTCTAGCCAGGGCAATAGGCACTTCTAAGACAAACTCTGGACATACTCGGTGGGTGTTCGTTCAACTGCTCTAAGATTTTTGGAGGTCAAGTAAAATGGTCAAAATTCACCTATCTCGATATAAACCGTACTTATCTTCTTTACTGCTCTGCTATTTCTGGCACTGGACCAGTAGCTCCCCCTACAAAGTGAAACGGAACACGCAGCCTCATACTCCATGTATAGCATCATAGATAAGGCGTTAGGCGAGCTTACTCTGCGGGTCTATACGCACACTCCGTGGTGGCATCTAAGGTGAATTGTGTGTTGTGCCCAATATCTTGCAAATTTGAAACAAAGCTCCAAGCCCTGTGTCTTGAAATAGGTTACTATGGGTGTTGACTAAAGCATCTCAAGTAGATTTCTACAGTCAAAGCAGGAAAATCACCCTTCTGTGAATTCAAAGTTGGTATGGGGACCGAGACAGCACTTTTTGGCACACTAGCCAGAGCCCAACAAACAGCAGCAAGTCCGTGTCAAAACTGTGGTGCCTGAATGGAGAACATTTTCCTCCTGACAGGATGCCTGCATAATGCTATTAAGAATTCTTAGTCTGTCATTATAAAAGAAATTATTGAATTTACAGTCTGTTAATGCCATATCCACTAGTCCCATGTTTGATCACGCCGCAGCCCTTGTGAAGAGAGAAAGCTTTTTACTTCCCTAATGGCTCTGGGGCTTGCAGCACAGCAGCATTTGCACTGAATGTCATGCTTATGTAATTCCAAATGTTATTGTGCTGGACCTGAAAAAGACCGCTCAGAGGAGAAGTAACTGAAAATGACAGTCTATTCCTGCCGACATCAGCCCATGTGAACATTGCGTTACCATTTCTTCCTCCAAAAAGCACTGTTTTCCTTATTTCTTTATATTTTTTTACACTGCTGAAGATGCAACTGAAATGGGAAATTCAAGAGTATTCAATCAGTATTAAGCAATTTACAGCTTTACTTGCTACAGCATCCACCTTAGCTGAGAGGGACAGTGAATTGTTTTACGATCATTTATGCTCAAAGTGCTTACTTGCATAAATATTGCATAGAAAAAAAAAATTCAACAATAAAGGCTTAAGTGCTGCCCTGAGGACAGGGGATCATAGACAGTATTGGCCCTGACAACTTCCTAGGAATTATCGTAATCTTCAGGCAGAACTGTCATGTGCTTAAAAGACCAGCAGCACTTTGAGGAAGGGGGGGTACATCTCCGGGCGGGCACCTACGTGCTCACCAGGGATAACCCCTCCGCTTACGTTGTTCGCAGCGGCCGAGGAGTGGCACAAGATGGGAGGCGAGCCCTGGCAGCTCATCGAACCGGTCGATGGCTTCCACCCCAGCCAGGTAAAAACCCAGCCCCGGGAGACAGGGAAGGGGGGAGCAGGTGGGATGCCACCCCGGGGATGCGGATTTGGAGGCTGATCTTCCCCTCTCTGCCAGCAGCTGCTCTCCCATCCCCTGTGCTTAGCAATGGGTCCAGAAGTTTCTTGCTATGAGGGACACGTGCTCTCAAAGTGGCCAGCTCCACTCCCAACATCCCTGCCGTGCCCAGGGGAGCAGGTCTGGGCAGCAACTGGGAGGAAAAGTGATGACGTTTTTCTGGTGCGTGATACCATGTGCCATGGCCATATTCTCTGTGCCATGACAAGAGCAGTTTGGAGAAAGCTGTTGTCTAGGGCATCGCTGCCTTCCTCCACGCTCCCGGCTGCACACTCTCTTCCACCCTGGCACAACTGAGCCACGCGAGCGAACCCCACCGTGTCACCCAGCCACCGACAGCACCGCTTGGCAGGTCCTCCTGCCCAAAAGTACGGGGTTGATTTCTGGACCAATTTTATGATGTGAGCTAACACCCCATATCTATTTACCCCCCCCACCAAATAACCTGACGCGGTACCGTCTTGCACGCTGGGAAGGAGCAGTCTGTGGAGGAGCACTTCAATGGGAGCACATTGCAAGGACTGAAGGATTCCAACATTTCAGCAGCTTCCCCATGGACTCTGCTGTCAGTTTGGCCAGTGGGTAATGGCAGGGGGAGGTCCAAAGCCAAAATACATGCTTCAGTTGCTATCTTTTACATCCATGCCAGTCAGCCGAAGCAATACTGTGCCTTGCCAAATCAAAAGAGTCTCCTGTTTGAAGAGGGACTCCTTCATAGGAGAAACTCCTGCCTGGCTCCCACGCAGTGCCAGCAGATAGCTGCATGAAAGTATGAGCTTGCAGCCTGGGGACGCAGAGAAAACGTGTCTGGATTTTTTGCTGCAGGCCTTTTGCGAGGAAGCAGTTAGAGAAAACTTGGCAACTGAAATGAGAGCAAAAATAGTGATGAAGTGAACCCCGTTCCCAACCCTGCCATCTGGGGAAACTGCAATATGAAGAGCCTGGAGCAAAGAAGAAAAGGTCTTTGTGTTATTTTTATGCCTTACCCTGAGGCTGACCTGAGGCTTCTTGTGACCCTCGGCAACATCCACCGAGAGAGTCAAGCTCCCTGGATCACAGCCTGGATCATCCAGGCTCTTGCCCACATCCCATATCCTACCAGCAGCTGGAAGGCAGCATGGACCTGAAGGCAGCAAGTATTTATCTGAAAGGGATCATGCCTAAGCCAAAAGAAAATACAAAAGGGCCCTGGAGGGCAGCTGGAAACCTACGCACAGCCCCCGGAGTGCTGAGCTGCAGGATCCGGCCACGCGCTGCCGTATCTCACTCCCTGGGGGGGACCAGGCGTCCTGCAGCCGTTACCATCTCCCCCTCCTGCTGTGAAGATGACGTTCATGCTTTTATAGGTACATTTTCCCTCATATTCAAGGTGCCATCTGTAGATACGCCTCACTTCAAGAGAGTTATTGCCCTTCGAGGATTTATTAATTAACCTTATCCAAACATCCACTGCTTTAAATACATTTTTCTTTTCCTGCTAGTACACAAAAGCCTGTTACCAACATATTTGGACTGAGACGTAGCACTCTGCTCTGAAAGAGTGGCTCTTTCAATAAAAAGGAGGGGAAGTGTAAGCAGAGAGTGATATTTAAGAGGATGCTTGAGAGAAATGATAAACAATTCATTCCCTCCTCAAACTAGTTTTATTTAAAGTTTTCTTTTACGCTGACGTGAACACCTCTGGCCAGGTACAGCTGTTATACCCTATAGGGGTGCCCAGCAGGAGAGGATTGATGCTGTGCAGCCCGTCAAGTGAATGAGGGCTCTTACTTCAGCCCCTGCAGCTGTTCCCCATGCCTCACGTGCAGCTTGGCTAATAAACACGATGGACAACACCTAGCCTGGGCATTTCTGCTGAATTTTCTCTCTGAAGACCTTGGAGCACTCAACAAATATTCACAAGTTTTTGAATTGAGCAGCACTCCACGGAAAGCATAGACATTTTAGCTCTTGCCTTCAGATGCAGAGAAGCTTTAGAATTTGGGATACAAGAACTGCAGTGCCCCTCTCTGCCATGGATGAGCTGGAAGGGTACCACCATCCCTAGTTGTTATGATGCAAGCTGGTGTCTACCCCTGGATTTCACCTGCTGTTTATCTGCTCTCTCTTTACTTAAAAAAAAATAATCTGTTGGTATAAACATGGCAGAAGCAGGGGTCAAGATGGATATCCAGTAGTCCAGTGGTCCAGCCACGCAGGATGTGGAAGGGGATTGAATCTCTCCAACTGAGAGTTGCATACTCAGCATTGCAAGGAGAATGAAAAGAAAAAGAAAAAAGGCAGAACTCTCTTTGTCCCATTAGACCTATTCTGATTTTTCATGCATTGGAAGAAGGCTAGGTTAGGACACTTGGGCAGGGAAAACTATCCCCCGTAGTCCCTGCTCCAGGCAGTGTTTCGTATTTAAAAACCTTTGAAAGAAGGGATAAACACCAAGTGCTCGTTTGTTTTTAGCCAGGACAAGAACTACGTTCCCTTGCTGCAAATTTCTTGGGGGACAAGGTGGTTCCCTGCACGTTTTTATTAAGTTGCAAATCAGAAGGCTGCAAACAAGATGCTTGGTTTTGGTGTAACTGCATTCTTCTTAAGTTTCAAACTAGAATTGGGCTCCGTGAGGTTGGTTTTTTTTCAAAACACCCAGCTCAGGCCTTAGGTGGAGGAAATTCACACCATTTACTTTTGACACCTAAAAGCAAAACACATCACTCATTCCTCCTAAGTTCCCTCTAGAGCTGTCTCTGAAATATCATTCCCCAAAGTCAGGCTCGGTTGTCCTTGGAAGAAATCTGACTTTCTCTTCCCATTGACTACAGTGGAAGTCCAGGGACGTTTTTTTCAGCATCTCCCCCTTACTATGAAATCTCACTGCAAACAGTTCTGAGTGCCAGATGGCTTCAAGGACGTTACTTCTCTCTAGAACAGCTAATTGCTTTGTTGGGATGACAGGGCCATGCGTTTCAACAGGATCCTGCATAAATGGCTTAATTTCTTGCTTTTATGACATTACCAGGGAGAACACAAAAGCCCTGAGCATCACGGACTGGAACCTGAGACGCTTGGAAGATTCTTAATGATGATGTGCAGGCAGGAAAGCACAGCTTGAGCGTGATTAGATTCTCCCTTTTCTCTTTCCTCAAGACATAGCGAAGCACGTTCCAGCCAGAAAAAGAGAGAAGAAGCTGAAGCGATGCATATCAGATGAGTTGGGTGTTTACACTTTGCTGAGAAGCATGCCCGTCGCCAGCTTGGTGCAGAAGGAGAGAACAGCCAGCAACTGCTGAAATAATGCAACCACCTCCCAGTTGCAGTCACCCAGAGGTCTATGAGGAATGGATAACATTGACCTTAAAAAAAAAAAATCGCTTAAGGGTTGTCATCTTCACAAAAAATTAGTTACAAAAAAAACCCGTAAGAATTGCAGCAGGCCTCAAAGCACCCAGAGCTTTGGAATTTCAAAAAGACCTGTAAGAAAGTGATTTCCAGAATCATGAACCCTTCTCGGTGCCATATTGAGAGTAAATCATCGAAATCATCAGGACCACATGAAGTGCCGTCTGAGCAGGACTCACGTAATTTAGGGCAATCTAAGCACCCTAAATTGCAGTCAACAGTAGCCTGAGCACTGCAGAGCATGCCTCCAGTGATACCTTTGCAGAGGGTGCACCAGGCAGGTGCAGGGTTTTTTAAACAAACCAACCCTACTAAAAAACATATGGAAGGCTTAGGGACTTGTGAAGGAGGTTTGGAGACTACCATGCCAGAATGGACCACTCTGGCAGAGATGGGTCTCAGCCTTCTGGCAGCCATAGGGTGTCCCAGAATAACCATGTTTGGCCACATGAGAAATCGTGACCAGGAGAAGACGCCCTATTGCATAGTCTCCCCCATCCCTCTCTCTCCTACCCCACTTCCTCTATTAGCTTAATAAGATCTTGAGTGACCCGAGTCTGAGAGCTCCCACCCCACAGATGTGTGTCTTTGTACGTGAGCTCTGAAAAAAAGAAAGTTTTTGTCTCCCAGCCCATCACTACAGCTTCTTTCAAAAGCACAGGATTTGAAAAGTGCATAAAAATTCCCCAAAGGCTCCAGTCTGTTCCCAAATTCCAAAACAACAGTATTCACATAGTTTGATTCCATAAACCCATCTTGGCCCTTAAAAGAAAAAAAAGGCTTTGTTATCCCTATTTAAACCTCATAATTACGACCAACATCAGAGTGAGTTTTAGGGTTGAAAGTGAAGTTACCAGCTAAGCAAAAACCATAATCGTAGGTCAGAAGTTAAACCAAAAATGCATTAGCAGGGTGTGAAAACTTGGTTAAAGGCGAGTCAGGCTGTTCTCACTTCCTCTTCCTGCTACCCTTGATGTTTTTCAGCCTGGTGATACAGCAGATACAATAACTTCTAGGGCAAAAACCTCTGTAAAAGCTAGAGTGGTTCTGATATTGAGGAGAAAAGCTGTTTTACCACTTCTGCAGGTCTCACGGAAAAAAAAGCTCTGAAGACAACCAGCAGCAGGCACGAATTTAGAACATCAGAGCTAGGTAGTTTTGAACCTGGATATAATTGGGCCTCTTTTTCCTCAACACTCACGGTTTCCTTACAGAATAGCAGAGAGAATATTTATTGGAAGCATCAGAGGCATATAGGAGCACGAATTCCTTTGGGCTTGCAAGAGGTTTACTCATTACAACCAAGTGGTGCTTTTGAAATACTTTTAAAATATTGTTTTGGGAGAGCAAAAAAAAAAAAAAATCAGACTCTAGGGCTTTTGAATAGAAGTTTATGGACCAGACATCACAGACATCAGGAAGTGGTTAGAAACTGTGATTAGAACAAATGACTGGTCAGGGAGGTGCGGATGTACAGTCCTCACCTTATTTTTTCTGTTTAGAAGGATTTTCCTCCATTCAACCAGTTGGAGTGGGGTACTTTCTTTGGTTAGAGGTTATGGTCCATCACATGGCTATACAGTCTTTGAAGTGCTGGCATGAAACAGCTACATTATAGAGGCACAGGAAATTACAGAATCAGACTGGTTTGGGTTGGAAGGGACCTTAAGGATCGTCTAGTTCCACAGGCAGGGACACCTTCCCCTAAATTCCCCCAAACTGATAGTATCTCTGCCCTTTGCAGATTGCTGCAGCCCTTGGGACAAGCACTACCTGGCAGAAGGCGCTACATGAATGGCCTCAAGTGCTTGGAAAGGAGAATCCATTCAACGACCAGATTGAAGCTATATTCAAAGATCAAGGTGGACATTGACTTCCAAACTGCCAGAGCCCTGACGTGGTTGACGGTGATGCTTCCCAGCGCGTTCCACAAAACAAGATGATTAAACACACACACAAAAAAAGGGAGAGGGCAAGTTATCAGAGGCAGCAGCAGTGCACATAACACAACAGCATTCTTTTGAGTTTCCATCTCACCTGCACAAGTAGGCTATGCTTTTTTTGTGGAGTTACAAAAATAAAAATCAAAGGATACCTGCCAGCTAGACCATTTACTGTACTGGTTTGCAAATCCATTCGATTTTATTTTTCCTTTTACAAAACTCCTAGCCCTTCCTTGTATTTTTTTTTTCCCCCTGCAGAACATTACTTCTGGGCTTTCCATTTGTACTGTTTCGATGGCTAATCTGATCCCAAAAGGGGGCAGGGGGAACCCCAGACTCATTATGTCGCTATAAATTGTGTGTATGTAATTGCCCTAACTGTTGATACGTTATTTAGCTGCTATCTGCTTATTAAAATGTGCCAGGAACAACAAGGTGCTAGAATTTTGATTTGCCTGGCAGCGTTCTTGCAGGCTGACTGACCACAGGTTCTCTTCTTCCTCCCCATTAACAAGGCAGTAACTCAACAACCCTTCACGTTTTTAAAACAGGTTGCTTTTTCAAGCTTTACTACATCTTGACTCTTTTATTTCCTAACAAATATGATATATCCAGTCCTGTACCTTTTACAGGCATGACCTAGGGAATCACTCAAGACACTGGGCAGCTCTTACCTGCTCTACTTCATACACAGACTTGAAGGTTGAGAATTACTAGTAGGTTTTGTTTTTTTTTTCACCAGCTTACCCTATGCTATTAGCAAAATAAATGCATGAATGAATAAATAGGCAGCTCTAACCTGCTCACAGCCCTGCTGGTGATGAAAGGATCAGATAGCTTCAAATGTCACTAGTTAAACAGGGAAAAAATATCTGGTAAACGAAGCGTTTTCATGGCATGGCTAAAACCCATCCAAATTAGCCAGAGCTCAGGTAGATGTGCTCTGCTCTTTGTTCAGAACACGTTTCATGTGTGGCTGGGTCACCCACGAGCCAGCTCGGAGGCTGTGGTCCACACTAAAGGAGATGGCCTGGCCGTGTATGGACCTCAGCATGCTGGCCGTGGCTGGAGGAGATGCCTCTGCTCAGTGTCCTGCATAGACAGAGGATGACGTGGCTACTGCTGTTTCGATTGAAGCACATTATTGCCATCCTAGATCCTCTTCCTTTTTTTAGAACACAGTCAATGCTGCATCTTTTATTAAGATAGAAATTCCTTTGGGGCAACCGCTAACGTTTAAGGAAACATTCAAGCCACCTACATTAGGAAACCAAAAGGGAATGCATTCCTTAATTGAATGATACTTACTAATAAGCCCCCAATTCATTCAAGGCATTAGATCTTACCAAAATATCCAGTCGAAACATTTTCAACTCCACAGAAGCATTTCTAAAAAGTATTAAAAGCAGGAAAAGGAAATCTACCTGCTTCCTGTACAAATGCTCTCCACCAAACGGCGTAACAGTTGATGACACTGGCCAGGTAGAACACCTTCTAACTATTTTTTATGGCCTATTCAGGCTTCCTGTCTTTCATTCCAAACAACACAAGGACAGAAGCAAGTGCATCCACATGGTTTTACTATAGCCCAAGTACAGCACAGACAATAATTATAGAAAATCAGTTAATTTCCTGCACACCAAAATACAGAAATGTAGCAATTAAAAGGGGGAAGGGAACAGCATGTGTTTAGAAGCCAAATTCTCCGGCAATCTCGTTGCAAATTATTGTATTTCATTGGAGGCTGGGATTTAATAACGACAATTAGGAGTTTTACAAGCTAGTAAAACAGAAATTTCCTCAGCTAAAATAAGCTTCATCGCCCAGAGCAAAGCATTTTCCATTTATAGACTTTCTTATTAGTGAACATCTTGCATTCCTGAACAAAGGAAAAAAGCTTTCTTATAAAATTAGAACAGCATCTTGTCAAAGACAACCTGCAACCCCCTCAAGATGAATCCCCAAGTGAAGCTCTCGGACTTGCCTGGTATAATTGCTCTGGGCTTGACCAGGGGTCTCTGAGGGACTCAGTTCCATTAGTTTAACTGTCTCCTGGTGCTTAGGTTGGTTGAAGGTGACAAATGGATGAAGAAGAGAGAAATAAAGGGGGGAAGGGGGGAATTCCAGTTCAAAAGCTAAGTATGGTTCCATGAAATTGAAGCTTTATAGTAGTACAGATCTCCAGAAGGAATGGTCTATCAAGGTCTTTTGGGGAAAGGACTTAGAGCACGCAAATACAGGGGGTATTATGTCCTTGGCTCGTTCTAAGGTACTGCAAATGGAAAGAGGGTTTTCTGATGTTGTTATTCCACTCTGTCTTGCAAAAACTTGAAGGTTTGTTTGAAGTCAGACAGTAGAAACTTATTTTTGAGGTATAGAACATCTATAGCTACACCTGAAGTTACTTAAAGCTACTTGGAACAGGTTGCCCAGAGAAGTTGTGGCTGCCCCATCCCTGGAAGTGTTCAAGACCAGGTTGGATGAGGCTTTGGGCAACCTGGTGTAGTGGAGGATGTCCCTGCCCATGGAAGGGGGGTTGGAACCAGGTGATCTTTGAGGTCCCTTCCAGCCCACCTCTCCAGCCTGTCAAGGTCCCTCGGGATGGCATCCCTTCCCTCCAGCCTGTCCACACCACCACACCACTTAGTGTCATCTGCAAACTTGCTGAGGGTGCACTCGATCCCACTGTCCATGTCACCAACAAAGATGTTCAACAGCACTGGTCCCAGTACCGACCCCTGAGGAACACCACTCATCACTGGCCTCCACTTAGACATTGAACTAACACCTTTCTAGGGACTCATTTATATTTAATGTTTTTTATTAACATCTGCTTGGAAGTTTAGAGAGCTTACCGTGTATCCACAGATGAAATTTGCTCTCCCACTATCCGTGTATTGCTACTCTGCTGCCATGTCTCCACCACAAGAGCAAAAGAACCATCTCTTCTCTTCATACTTGATGAACTGGTGGTCTCTAGCAGCCTCTGTGTTCATACACGTTCCAACCAGTTCACGGTAACTGCCCACGGACAATCTGGTGCTAGCTACCCCGAGGCATCACGTTACCTTCCCAAATCAAGTGGTATTTTGGGATACACATATTGAGTAGAATCCTTGCTCCAACACTGCATCGAGTCCAGCTTTACTTCTTCAGCCTAGAAACTAGTATCTCAAACGCATAGATGACATCGTGAAAAAAGCAGAACGGGTTTTATTCTTTATTTTAAATGAATAAAAATCAATCTCAATACATAGTTTGGAAATACTTAAAAACATCAGGAAAAAAAACAGATTTGAAAGCAAATACAAAAAGGGCAGGATGAAAACAGTAGAAGCTAGCAGAATTTAGTGTTTCGAGTGTGAATATAAAATTGCTGTTGCTGTTACAAGTATTCCACTGTCGCATTCGCAACGGTGAAGTAATAAGATAGTATTTCACTAAGCCCAGTGACAAGCTGTGAAAATTGCAAGTTTTAACTGAGAAGTTTTGCTGTTTTAATGATGGCTCTGAAGTACTGGTTTTATCTGCCTTTATGGACATGCCTGAGGTGGAAGACAACCCATACTTTCAGCCAGTGGAGTATTAGTTGGTGTATAGCAGCTTTGTAGTGTCTTATTACAAAAAAGCACTTTTACAACCTATTCCTGATTCTCAAATGGAGGAGAATTCTGGCTTGTACAAACCGTGAGTGCCAGGAAATACTGACGTATACAACCCTAAAACTTTTTAATACAACAGTCCTAACAAAAAATATTCAAGACCTTCCATTTCTATCAAAGTGCATTATACTGCATACATAATTCCACACCTGTAAACCACATAGTATACACGCCACACACTTATCCATACCAGTTTGTATGAGAAATTGCAAAAGTAGTATGAATATCTTGGGCATGCCTTTTGTTCTGACCACAAGGACACTGTGCAAGCAAGAAATACCTATATCGCACATTGTAGAATAAAATTTACAAGTAACTTCTATGCTTGATCATTTAAAAAAACAAAACCAAAACCCAACAAACCCTCCACTATTAAATCTCGTGCTTCAGCACCATCCTTGTTAGAGAACTCTGAGCTATTGTTTCTTTCAGGGAGTTATCTAGCAAGCTTGTTTTTCACTAGCTTTTCCCCCCTCCCCACTTCCTGCCCTGAAGTGTGATTTCCTGCAATAATTTAGTTGTTTAAAGAAGAGAACGTACTTAGCTAAAAAGGACTTCCAAAAAAGGAGTTACATAAATATTTAGCACGTTTAGAGACAGCTAATTGCTTCCTACCGTACTCAAAAGCTAGGAAGTAAAAAAGTTTTAAAATTCTTGAAGTGAAATAAAAATACTGCATAACATAGTCCTATATAATGTTAAATACTCTCTCAAATTTAAAGCATAAGTGACCCAGAGGACTTCCGACATTTCATTTAAGTTCTTTTTTTTGTGTGGTTCATGGGGATTTTTTGCATATGTATTTTCCTCTTATTTCCCTCCCAGAGTTTAAAGCTTTCCAACAGGTTTGTAGCAGGCATCAGGCTGCCACATGCGAAGGTCAACAAGGACTTGGTTGAGCTTCTGCATCCAAAGGTTACGCTCTTCTTTAGTATCAGCAGACAGCCAGTTCCTAAAAGACAAAGAACCCAATGGATTAGGTATGTCTTTCTCTGCCTCTACTGAGTTATTCTGAAAAATGTCAGGCTGATTATCCACTGAGGCACAAATAGGAGGGGAAAAAAATGAAGTCATATATCATAGAGTCATAGAATCATAGAATCGTTAGGGCTGGAAGGGACCTTCAAAGGTCATCTAGTCCAACCCCCCTGCAAGGAACAGGGATATCTCCAACTAGATCAGGTTGCTCAGGGCCTCATCCAACCGGGCCTTGAACGTCTCCAGGGATGGAGCATCCACCACCTCTCTGGGCAACCTGTTCCAGTGTTCTACAACTCTCATGTTGTATTTCTCATATATGACACAGTCTTGGCTTTTCCACTTCTGGAAAAGTGGAGTTCTTTGTCCTCAGCAGACTGAAATGGGACAGCAAGGTGAGATAGGACTAAAGGCGAACCACACAGTTCAACTGCCATCCCAAAGTCTTAGTATTTAAATGAGCTTTGCATTGGCACATCAAAGTTGCAAAGCTCCTGTGTTATTAAAACTACCACTTGAGGCAAACCACCATTCTCTACACACATCCCATAACCTCCCACAACCTTCCCGATTTTATCCACTCACTTTGTAACACAGAGCGTGTCTCTGCATTGGCTGACAAGAGTCTCTCTGTCATCTTCCCTCTGAGGTCGGACAGTTATTAGTTCAAAGGTGTTGGGGCGGGCACAGAACTCCCGGTTGGCAGGTTCGATCTGATGATTAGTGCAGTTGGCCAGGTTTATCCGGCCCAAAGGATGCTGAAAGGGAAGTTAGTTCAGTCAAAAATAATTCTGAACAACATATGCTGTGACAATTTTTGCCATGTTAAGTAACGCTCCCCCCTCTCCTCAATCAACTACTCCATACAAAAAGAGGGATTCCACTTTTTGCGTTCAAGAGCCATAGTTCAAGCAAGATAATACAGACAATGGAACACGTCCTGCTCAGCCATGTACAGCACAGCTAATAAATCCATCCCTTGCCAAAGGCTTAGGCTCTACAAAGATCACAGAATCCCAGAATGTTAGGGTTTGGAAGGGACCTCAAAGGATCATCTAGTCCAATCCCCCTGCCGGAGCAGGACCACCTAGATCAGATCACACAAGAACACGTCCAGGCGGGTTTGAAACATCTCCAGAGAAGGAGACTCCACAACCTCTCTGGGCAGCCTGTTCGAGCATTCTGTTCCCCTTACTGGGAAGAAGTTCTTCCTCATGTTTAGGCGGAACCTCCTATGTTCCAGCTTATATCCATTTCCCCTTGTCCTATCATTGGATGCCAGTGAGAAGAGCCTGGCGCCATCCTCATGACAGTCACCCTTTCCATATTTATAAACATTAATGAGGTCCCCCCTCAGTCTCCTCCAAGCTAAAGAGACCCAGCTCCCTCAGCCTTTCCTCACAAGGGAGATGCTCCACTCCATCATCTTTGTGGCCCTGCGCTGGACTGTCTCAAGCAGGTTCCTTGTCCTTCTTGAACTGAGGCGCCCAGTCACATATAGATACATATAAGATACAACCTCCCTTTTCTTTATTCCTTAAAAAACAAGCACACCACAACAAAGCAGCTTTTTAACTCTCAAATTCCAGAAGACTTCATCGTGAAATCCAAACTGACAGAGTAAACCCTGGCAAAGCTTACAGAAAACAAGCACTTGGACATCATTCTTGCCGAAGCCTGTAAGCACAAGGATTCATTTTCAAACGTGCAACTAGGGCACCCAAGTGCCAGGTGGAGCTGCTTTAGCTCCCTCTGTAGTCAAGAGCCAGGCCCCTTTGAAGAGCATTTCGAATTTCAAGGCAGTTCTCTCTTTCTGCTGACTACAGACAGGGGCTCAGCTGCATGCCTAAAGTTAGATACAGACCTCGGCTCTGATTCTTCACACCTACGGAATACCCCATCAGGGAAACATCACAAGCTGCTGTTGGCTTGGAGGAGTTTGCTATTTATTGGGCATGTTCACTATACTATTCCATAGACAGAATAAGTTACAGGAGAAAGAAGGATAGCTCCATTTCAAGGAACATGTTGCATGTTGGTAATAGATGTGCAGTCATGGGAAATTTATTACAAAAATGTTCACTATTTAAAGCAATCATTGCCCAATACTGATGTTTCTGAGCTACATCTGTCTCTGCATGATAGAGCAGAGATAGTAGGGGTAAGGATAGGAATTTAATAAGGATAGAGTTTAATATTGCTGTAAATGATAGTATATCCAAAGAATATAGCTGACCCTTTCTCCGAATGATAGTGAAACAAGTCTAGAAGATTTTCAAGAACAGAATCTGGAAGACAGATTCTTCCTTGCAGACAAAAGCAGAATAGGAACCTTTTTCTTGCTTAACTCAATTTTTTTGCCTATCTTCTATTACAGTAAGCAGAGATTTTTCCCTTTCTTCTGGCAGGGAAAGAAAGTACATTGATATATTTTGGCAATGTCAACTATCAGCATATGGTCGTCTTCTGTTAGCAGGGACGAAACTAAACTCAGGCATCTGGATTGGTATAGAAGACCCAAAAGGACCAGAGTTTGCCACAGAGTTTGGGAAAAAAAGTGTTCTGCCAACAAACAAGCAAGTGTTTAATGGTAAATTGCTTAAGTGAGTCAGAAAAACCCTCTTGAAAGCAGTCTTCCAAAGGACCTGGACACATTTCAGTACCCACTACAAGAACAGGTGAAGGAGACAAGATGGTTCCCCTCAGTTACAGATGGACCTCTGATTTGTCTCATTAGCCAGACAATAACTTAGGTTTTGGTGAGAACCATTTAAAGGGAAAATTAAATATGGATCTTCCTCTGCTTTTCCCCTCTCCCACCAGATAAAGCAGTCGCTTTCTACATTTGTCCTGATTTAGGTCAGATTTATAAAGACAAATCCTCTCCATTCCCCAAGGAAATTTTATGAGCTTGAATCTCACTTTAAATATACTTGTTTCAAGCCTAAGTATTACTGTCATTAAAAACGAACAGCTAGTTGTGCACAGTGCTACAGAACTTCACACGTGAGCTTTAAAAACCAGCATTACCTTGCGTTTTTCATCATCTGGGTAGGTCCAGTACGATATACAATTTCCAGACAGCACACACCAGCGCCTATGCCATGCTCCAAATCCACTAACATCTTCGAACATAGTCTTAGAAAAATGACAAAAAAAAAAAAAAATAAGAAAAATGGGGTAACATTATACCTCGAGTTTGGTCTGTACTCAGCTATTTTTCTACCCCAATGGTTCTGCAAGTGCAACTCTTCATAGAGGTAAAAGAGAAGGAAGAAGTATGTACAGGGAGAGGCTTTATTAGTCTGGAATAGAGAGTTTAGTATCGGACTTTTATTCCTGATCCCTCTTGAACTTGTATACAACTTGTTTTTTTTCCAATTAATTTTTGAGTGTTGTATTATTTTTCACTCTTCACAATTCAGATTATAATTTGTAAAGGTGCAGGGAGTTTCCAAACCCTTACTCCAAAAAAAAATTAACATGCACATACACCATTTTTCAGATTTTACATATTGTATAGTAAAAGTAAACAAGAACTTTCTTAAATTAGTACACAAAACCCATGAGATAGCAAATATCACAAGCATGGGAAATGTTTGGATCTAATGCAATCTGTTCCACTTGAATTAAGTGAAAGGAAAGGAGACAGAAAGAACTGCTTGGAAAGAGCCTAAAGAAATTCTGATTCCTGAAAACACCAAAATAACAACAAATGTTTAGTGTTTTGCTCGAGTGTTTCCAGAGCACATTTACTGCCATCTCCTGGACATGGTCTCCACAGCTCCGTTATGGGGCCCAAGTATCAGCTGCGTTTTCCAAGTCCAGTTTTAGAGAAAGAACTGCTCAAGATTTCCCAAAAAAATATCATCGCTTCCTTGCAAGTCAAAGTATGTGAGCACAGTGGATAAAAAAATAAAGCAAGTTCTCCCTAGCAACAGATCTTTTACTAGGCAAAAAAAAAAAAAGAAATCCGAGATGTCTTGTAAACATTTCTGGCACAGAAATGAGAATCTCATCTTGCACCACAGATTATAGCAATAGAAGGTTAATTGAAGTTGAGAACAACAAACGAATAGTGTTTAGAAGAAAAAGAGATACAGACTCCTAAAAGGTAGTTTTAATTTAGGCATGTTTAGAAGATAAACTAGGAAAGTTTTGAGGTCTGGTTCAGAGAGAAAAAAAATAAAATAAAGCCAGTTTTAAGCTTTGCAGTCACTACAAATACATGTGTGAAGTTAATAAAAGTGACTACATTTAATTGGATCTATAATTTCCAAGGAAGAAATCTGAAGTAAATGCCTTACCAAGAACCCTTTCTCCTCCACAGAAGAGTCCACTTGGCATTTTAACTTTAGATATATATGACCTTCCAAAGGAGACAAAAAGGGAACCTGGAAAAAGCAAAACAATTAGGCATTTAATTTCGTCACACCTCTTAACTCTACCAGTTCAAGCAAGCCACCTGCACCAGGATGTTAGCACGGTCTTGTTCTTAGGATCTTCAGCCAGAAAGAAGCGGTCAGTCTCAAGCAAAACAGTAATAATCACTTTTGGTTTCAAGTTCATTTAGAAGCTTCTCAAGACTTATTAGTTTGCTCAGGACATATGCACAAACAGGCTTCTATCTAGAAAAACAGGCACTCCAAGCACGGTTAAAAACAACACGAGGCACCAGTCCACACCCTGCAAGCTTCTGCCTCAGTTTGACGTTAAGGTGTTTGGAAAATATCAAAGTGGGCTTAAACAGGATTGCTACTGGGATGCCATAAGCATTTTCGGCAAGATAGTAGTTGTGCCTACTCAGATAAATATTTGTATAAAAAAAAAGCTTAGAAGAGGAAAGAGCAATGAAAGCAGTTCTTCTCAACTGGCACTCAAGGTGCTGAAGATTAAGCCATTTCTAACAAAAGAGGTTCCAAGGCCTATCTTCTACCACTGAAAAAAAAAAGCAGCTTAACCACTGGACCAGAGGTTGGTTAAAGGGTTGTTTGATATTCAAGAGTTTTGAGGAGGAGCATGCAACAAGGACTGCTTTTGGACTTCCCCCAATCCCTCCACACATAGCACCCCATTACAGAGGGTGCTCCCACCATGACTGTCAAGAGATCACATCCCTTCTTATATCCCACAGGGAAGCTAAGAGACAAATTGCTAATTCAACAAGCAAACTATGATCTATAGGGTATTCTCATACTGTGCTTCGTTGCTAATCTGAATAAGCAACACTGTAAAAATCTTCAGGGGGAGGGAATAAAAAAAAAAATCAGAAACATTGCTGCTTTGTCATACTAGAAAAACCAGAAAGGTTGATGGTGCTGCTCAACTACGAAGAAGGAATCATTTCTGCCCCTTTACTCTGCTCTCATGAGACCCCACCTGCAGTGCTGCGTTCAGCTCTAGAGTCCCCAACACAAGAAGGACATGGAGCTGCTGGAGCGGGTCCAGAGGAGGCCACGAAGATGATCTGAGGGCTGGAGCACCTCTGCTATGGAGACAGGCTGGGAGAGTTGGGGCTGTTCAGCCTGGAGAAGAGAAGGCTCCGGGGTGATCTTACTGCAGCTTTCCTGTACCTAAAGGGGGCCTACAGGAAAGCTGGAGAGGGACTTTTGGCAAGGGCTTGTAGTGATAGGACAAGGGGCAATGGCTTTAAAGTGAAAGAGGGGAGATTTAGATTAGAGATAAGGAAGAAATTCTTCACTCTGAGGGCGGCGAGACGCTGGCACAGGTTGCCCAGAGAAGTTATAGATGCCCCATCCCTGGAAGTGTTCAGGGCCAGGCTGGATGAGGCTTTGAGCAACCTGGTGTAGTGGAGGGTGTCCCTGCCCATGGCAGGGGGGTTGGAACTAGATGATCTTTGAGGTCCCTTCCAACACAAACCATTCTGTGATTCTATGATTTCTCAGAGAAGAGGCATTTGTACGCAATAATGAAGTAGCTTGTAGAGCCGTGGAATCAACGTCAATCAAATGGAATTAAATTTTGCCAGTAGTTAGGATGAACAAGATCAGTCTTTGGTGGTTAAAAGCATACCTCTGTAGGCTTCAGTGAACCCTGCAGAACGTGGAAATAGACGTCATGGTTAGAAATTGATTGCCTTTGAATTGTAGGCATACTGCAGCTTCCTCAAAGGCACAGAACTGGCTGGATGGTCGCACTCAAAGAGTTATGGTCAATGGTGTGATGTGTACATGGAGACCAGTGTCAAGCGGTGTCCATCAGGGGTCCATTCTGGGTCCAGTGCTGTTCAACATCTTTGTCAGCAACATGGATAATGGCATTGAGTGTACCCTCAGTAAGTTTGCCAATGACACCACACTGTGTGGTGCCGTGGACTCACTTGAAGGAAGAGATGCCATCCAGAGGGACCCCTTGATAGGCTTGAGAAATGGGCCAGTGCTAACTGCATGAGCTTCAACAAGTCAAAAT